CTATCTTCGGATCACCCGCCGGCCAGCCACTATCGCATTGCCGACGGGTACTTGCTCCTCYACTCGAGAGGCAAGGACTTACTATGTGTCCCACGCGACCGCCGTCTTCGGACTCGCCTCCTCGGCGAGTATCATGATTCACGACTCGCCGGCCATTTCGGAGTCAACCGCACTATTGCACGGCTTCGACAACGATTCCGATGACCTGATCTCATTACCGATGTCACTCGGTATTGCGACTCTTGCGAAGTTTGCCGACGCAGCAAGCCCTGCAACCGCAATCCCTATGGCGAGTTACGCCCGATGCCTATCCCACGGGAACCCGGTCTCTCCATTGCCATGGACGTCACCGGTCCATTCCCTCGCGACCGGCTCGGGCACGATGGCATCCTCACGGTTGTGGACCGATTGAGTAAGTACGCATGTTTTCTTTCTTGCAAGTACTACTCCATGACTCCCGAACTGGCACGCCTCCTGCACACCGGTTGGATTTGTGGCTACGGTGTACCAGAAGACATAGTCAGCAACCGCGACACTTGCTTCATGTCGGCATTTTGGACTGCTCTCATGCAGGAGTCCGACACGAAGATGAAGCCAAGTTCGGCTCGACATCCACAGACAGGCGGGCAGACGGAACGGGCACATCAAACCGCTCAAATGATGCTTCGTATGCTCATCCGTCCGGACCAGAAAGATTGGGTTGACCGCCTCCCCGACATCGAGTTCGCCTACAACACTTCGGTGCACCCGACGATCGGCGTGACTCCATTCGAGTTGCACCACGATGAACGGAAAGGCCGTATCTTCGCTGACCTTCTCCTCCCTCGACCAGCCGACATTGACGCCGCTTGCTCTCCCGCTTCTGTCCGGAAGTACAGGGAATTGCTGACTCAAGCCCGCGCGAACATGCAAAAGGCTTAAGTCCGCATGCAGCAGCAAGCCAACAGGCGTCGCGTGCCATGTCCCATCCATGCCGGTGATCTGGTTTGGGTCTCCGGGTGGAAGAGTTTGCACTGGAACAGGATGTTTCACGCAAACTGCTTCCCAAGTGATTTGGACCTTGGTCTGTGACAGCAGCCGCGGGCGATGAGCCCGATGGCCCTTCATTTGTGATCAACATTCCVGAGCATCTGACGGTCCATCCAGTCTTTCACGCCTCGAAGCTGACAACATATACACCAGCTAAGAGCGACGACTTCCCGGGCCGATGATCGCAGGACCCTCCTTTTATGGATGGTCATCAGGAAGTTGACCGCGTCATCACGGATCGCAAGTACGGCAGCAAGCCGCGCCAGTACAAAGTTACATTTAGAGCATGTGATCCCGACGACACTCGGTGGATTTCAGGAGCAGATTTGGAAGCATCCGCACCGCTACGAGCGACAAAGGTTAGTTAAGGGACCTCCATGACCTGCCCCTCCCACCCGGACTGTGGTCCCTCCCTCAGACAGACAGCTTCGCCCTCGCAGGTAAGCTCGGTCTTTCAAGGAGGGGGGGGTGTGGCATACTGCGTAGCCACACGGGCCCTGCAGGGCCCGTCCCGCACTTTCAGCCTAAAAGCCTAAAAAACATAGGGCTTACAAGCCCCGGTCGTTTCAGCCTGAAAGCTGAAAAACGAGGGCCTGCAGGCCCTACTCCGTTTTCAGCCTATTTCTGAGCCTTTCAGGCCCGAAGGCTTTTCAGCCTGAAACGGAGGGCCATTTTCAGGCCCTCATTGTGTTCGACCTACCTAAGACTCAGGCACGAAAACAGGGTTTCGGGAACAGGCCAGAAATAGCCTGTTCCCCACTCCAGCTCGAGCAGGAGCTGCAACTGCAGCCCCTGCCTCCCTTCTGCATTGGCAAGAGCAGCCTCCTGGATTGCTCGCCCGAGTCAGGAGGCACACCCGGTAGTACATAGGAGGTTCCCATGCACTTCACGGGCAGGTAGTTGGACAGTTGTCAGGTGGTAGTCTTCAGGATAGCGGAGCAACACTCAGGAGGAGCGCTGCCCAGGGCAGCTTAGCGCTAGTGGTAGTCTTCAGCGCTGGGCACCATAGCTGTAGTCTTCAGCGCTGGGCGCCATAGCTGTAGTCTTCAGCGCTGGGCGCTATAGCAGTAGTAGTAGTAGTAGTGATACAGAAGAGGGATGACTGGCCGAGGCCAGTGGTACTAACCTATGGCGCCATCGCTCCAGCTCCATCTTCGAGGTACCTGCATCACAGCGCCACCTTCACAGGTTAGTACTGGACTGAGAGAGAGAGAGGGTTCTTCTTCTTCCTCTTCTAAGTCCACCATCTCTTCTTCCCCGCTCGCTGCCTACTTCGCAGTATCTGTGGACTACGAGAGAGAGATGTGACCTGAGACTTGACGACATTGGATACAGACTCGACATTTGGGATTCAGATATTTTGACGAGGGACTATTTGGGCCTGTGCCGAAGACTTGGTGTTGACGACATTCCCATCTTTCCCTCCTCTTTGTCTCATCCCCCTCTTCTTCCTGTGTGTATGTGTGGGGCTGGCGCAGTCTTCCTGTGTGAAGCGCCAGACCCCTTTCACACCCTGGCATGATGATGATGATGTATGTTCAAGGCTGCATTGTGACATTGATTGTTCGGATCGTTGGTATCTAAGTCTTCCGTTTGCACCATCTTGTACTTTGTATTGAGAGGTCGGTTCTTGTTCTGGTCTGCATGTTACAGTTGCATAGTTGCCCTCAACCACTTAGGTTAGGGTTAGGGCAGCGAAGTCAACTCTCGCCAGCAAGTAGAATCCGCTCTGATACCAATGTTATGACCCTGGCCAATTTCGAGATACACATCCACTGGAAAGTACAATGCCATCCAATTGCAGAAAATAATGAATGAACTTGAGAGGAGAGAGAGAGGAGTAGAAGAAGAGGAAGAAGTAAGAAAGAAGAAGAAGAAGATGTACACCAGCAAAGGCAATGACAAGGCTCTTCTTCTTCGCTCAACAATCTCCTCCTCCTTATCCCCCCCTTCTCTTATTCATACAAGAAATAATAATACAATGTTGAATGACTGGTCCAGAATCATGTCCGAGTCCCTTTTCTACTGCAGGTATCACTCAAGGTCCGCCATAGCCATGGCCGCCTCTCCCACCCTTCACACACATAGGCCGAGGTTATGGCGGACTACTAGGCCTTGCTCCGATGTCGAAAGGACAACCCAAAGCAGCTATGGCTGCTCCAGCTCAGGCCGCCATGCCCAGCCCTGCCTTGAAGCTTCTTGGTGTAGCTCCCCCCGGCTTGGGGACTCCTTGCTGCAGCGCCCACCAAGGTGATGAAGATGGCTGCCACCATAGTCAGGCAAGTACCCCTGCCGCTCCTCCCCCTTCCTTCCTTCTTCCTCCTCCTTCCTCCCTCTTGTCCTTCTTCTTCCTCCCCAGCAGCGCTGCTCCTGCTTAGCGCTGCTCCATCCAGTGCTCCACCAGTGTGTCGCCAAACTTGCACACCGAAAAAGAGGCCGGGTCTTCCGCCTGGCCTGAAGATATAGCGGCCTGCTTTGCCTCTTGGGCGGTGACTTCCAGGCCGCTGGCCTTCCCAAGCAACCGGTACCTCCTCCTCTTTTGGAGGGAAACATCATTGCAGACTCTGATATTGCCCCTACAGGCCCTAGACTCAGACTGGTACCCGCTAGACCTACCCTACACTACCGGCCTCTAAAAATGCCACTTTTGTCTTCTTCTTCTCGGCCTCCGGTACCTGCATATTTAACCCCCTGCCGGGTGCAGTACCGGCCTACCTGCTACTTGAGTGTTTTTTCCCCGCTGCAACCCTTCAAAGCCACGGCCACAGGTAAGTACCGGCGCTGAGGGCCCAACGAACGAACAAGTGCCCGGGCGGGCCACACACACACACTCGTACCAACCAGCACTCAGACAGGCACAGTCACACACGCAAGCCGACCAGCACTCAGACAGACATGCAGTCCAGCAAGCACACACACACACAGACTTAGCAGGCGGGGAACTCAGTAAAGCATTCAGTCTATGAGCAAAACTCAGATATCAGCTGTGTGTTTCAGTCCGTGTTTGGACGGGTTATCACA